GAGAAAGTTAGGGATAAAAAATTCATAGAGAAAATAAAAATCAATAGAAACAAGCAATAATGAACTAAAAATAATATTATTTCGAACTTTTAGATGAAGAGTGTAAAGTTTAGGAGAGAGAGAAAAATTAGTAGAGTTTAGATATGAGGAAAATATAGGATAATGAAGAAAAAAAATAATTTTATTGAATTTAGATAGGTTTATAAACTTTAAGTAGGGAGAAAAAATATAGTTTAAATAGAGAGAGAACGTTCAAAGTTGTTAGAAAGAAAATTTTGAAATCTTGGGATTGATGGTTGGATTTCAACTATTTATATTTGAGAAGGAAAAGTCTACAAAAGTCTTAAAATTAAAAAGTCTACAAAAGTTCATAACTTTTTGAATACCACATGAGTTTTAAAGACTCTTTAAAAGTCTTAATCGAATACCATACGATTTTTAAAGACTCTTTAAAAATCTTGATTGAATACCGCCCAACTTTTAAAGACTCTCTAAAAGTTTGAATTGAATACCTCCAAACTTTTAAAGTTCATAAAAGTCTTTAAAACTCTATGAAAGTCGTGATTTAATACACCCCCTTTAATATATTACAACAAATCCATTCCGTGCATCGCACGGGCGCAAATACTAGTAATAATAATAATAGTATTATTATGAAATAAATTACAATTATAACAACAACAAAAATAATAATAACAACAACAACAACAACAATAACAACAACAACAACAACAACAAAAACAAAAATAATAATAATAATAATAATAATAATAATAATAATAATAATAATAATAATAATAATAATAATAATAGTAGTAGTAGTGTGCAATCTCGTAATGCAAAAGGATTTAAAAAATAAAGAGCATGCACGTTTTGAACTTTGGACCTCCAAATTGAAATTGAAATTGAAATTGAAATACAATAAACACATGTTTCCTACCATGTCTTCATAAAGCCTTTTCAATTTAATTGAAAACTTTTAGTTTTTATTTCTAAATTAGTTAGGTAAAAATGAAATATTGGGCCTCTAAAATTTAGAGCCCTGTGCGGTAGCCTAGCTTGCACAGCCCAAAAACCGACCCTGACGCGTATTGCCATTCTTTCCTTCATATATTTTATTCTTTCCCAGCAAATCAAGATTAGTCGAGCAATTAAATAAGGGAAGAAAATTGAGGATTTTACCATCGATGAATAAGAGGGATGGAGAATTATGGATCGGAGAGGAGAGTAACCTGACAAATAAGAGGGAGGAGAAATTACCATGTTAACCATTCTTTTAGCAATCAGCAAACGGAATTGCTAACAGATGACTAAATTGAGTAAAACCATCAAAATCGATGACTAAATTAAGATAAAAAGTCATTTAGAACTTAATCGAGTAAAACCACTATAGTCGGGGACTATATTGGTTATTAACTCATAATTAAAGTCTTAAAGAATTCATCCATAACAGGACGTTTGGTTGGAGGGAATTTAAATTCCATTCCCACTTAATTCCCACATAATTCCAAAAGGCTACTAAATTCTTTAGTTTAGTTGGAAGCATGGACGGAGCCAAAGGGGGGGCAGGGGGGCACCCCACCCCTTATATAATCTTTGTATGTAAATATGTATATATGTATATATAGTACATGTTTGAGTATTAGTATAAAAAAACTGTTAATTCTTAATAAGAAATGAGTTAGTTTAGTTGGTAAAGTATGTGTTTGGTTATAATAAAGGTTAAGAGTTCAAACCCTTTGGGTGTTAATATAATTTTACAGTTTAACACAATCACATTTTAATAGTTTTTTAAAATATTTAATACACATACATACATACATACATACATACATACATACATACATACATACATACATATATATATATATATATATATATATATATATATATAACATTTTTTTATATTAATAATGAGATGTGTAATTTAATTATAATGTGTTTTTTATTCAAATTATTTTATCAAATTAACTATGTTTCATATTTTGTTATGAATACTTTTATAAAGTAATAATGAGATGTGTAATTTAATTATAATGTGTTTTTTATTCAAATTATTTTATCAAATTAACTATGTTTCATATTTTGTTATGAATACTTTTATAAAGTTTCGATATGTTTTATTTTTTGCACATATCCAATAATAGTTACACATATATTTCTTAAGTAGTTTTACAGTTTTTTTGGCTACTTCCCTATGGCTTTTAACACAATCACATTTTAATAGTTTTTTTTAAATATTTAATACACACACACATACATACATACATACATACATACATACATACATACATACATACATATATATATATATATATATATATATATATATATATATATATATATATCTAAAAACATAATAAGCATCAATTAAGGTTATATCCTTGATTTATGTCCCTCTTTTTCTATGCAAATAAAGGTGTACATTTTACTTTAAATGTTATACATTCCAATGTTATTAGACAAAACTACCCTTACACCGTTATAACACCGTTAGTTTTTAATTCTAACATTGATAACACATCATTATTACCATACACCTATATCTATCATATTTTTTTTAATTATTATTTTATTAAAATCATTATAAATTAATTTAATACTTAATTATATTTTAATTAAATTTCTAAAAATGACAAATTATATATGTGTGTGTACAAAATACATATATTATTTGTGTATATATAATTCTTTTTGAACGCATGTATATATAATTCAAATTATAATTTTAATTATTTATATTTATTAATGTTTTAATATTGAGCATGAATTTTCACGCATCGCGCGTACAAAATGCTAGTATATATGTATATGTGTGTATATATATATATATATATATATATATATATATATATATGCTGGTAACGAACCGAACATAAACGAGCGCAGGTTGTTCGTGTTTGTTTGTTAAGGTTTTGGAGTGTTCGTTTGTTAAGGTTTTTGAAAATTCTGTTCGCGTTCGTTTTTTAAGCGTTCATTAGTGTTTGTTAACGTTCGTGAACACGGTCACGAATGTATTCGTTAACATTAATGAACACATTCATGAACATGTTTGTTAACAAGCACGTTCACGAACATGTTCATTAATATTTGTGAACATGTTCGTGAATGCTTAATAACCAAACATATGAACATGTTCATGATCACAATTCGTTCGTGAACAAGAAATAATCTATGTTCACGAAAAATAATCAAACAAGTAACACAACTACAAAGAAAATACAAACAAATATTAAACTAATACAAACGATTAAACAAACACAAACGAGCTTGTTCACAAGCATCATTAAACGAACACAAACGAGCTTGTTCACAATCTCTTAGCAAACGAGCTTAAAACTGTTTAAACTATGTTCGTTTGTTAACCGAGCTCTAAATTTTGTTTGTTAATGTTCGTTTATCTTAATAAACGAACATAAACAAACGCTTACCGAACACGAACACGAATAGTTTATCAAAAGCTCTGTTCGCTAACACCCCTATATATATATATATATATATATATATATATATATATATATATATATATATATATATAACATTCTTTTATATTAATAATGAGATGTGTAATTTAATTATAATGTGTTTTTTATTCAAATTATTTTATCAAATAAATTATGTTTCATATTTTGTTATGAATATTTTTATAAAGTTTCGATATGTTTTATTTTTCGCCCATATCCAATAATATTTACACATATATTTCTTAGGCAATTTTTTTTTAAATATCTCTTTTATTTTAATGTTTCGCCTTTACTGGAAATTTTTTTTGAATTCGTCCCTATTTCGCCCCCCCCCCCCAACAGAATTCCTAGCTCCGTCCCTGGTTGGAAGGAATTGTAATTCCACGGAATTGCAATTCCTTCATTTTCATGGAATTAAAATTCCATGCCTACCTTGGAATTTTAATTCCATGGATTTTATGAAGAAAAAAAAAAAAGATAATTATGAGACAAAATTACACATCCCTTTTTAAACCTAAAATTGATGTTTGACAACAACAATGGACATTTTAGACTTTATAGTACTCATTCCCTTTCAATTCCATGTATACCAAACATTAGAATTGAAATTCTCAGTAATTTTATTCCTGTCAACCAAACACTGGAATTGAAATTCCCACTTTATTCCCAGTAATTCATCTCACATAAAATTGCAATTCCTTTTCCACGCAATTCCCTCCCGCCAACCAAACGCCCCGTAAGTGTTAGTTGTGTTCACTTTTTTTTTTTTTTTTTGTCTAAGCTATCATTGACGTTGCTTTTTTCATTATTTTATTAACTTTTCGTGTTCACTTTTCGTCCCTAATATTTTGTTAGTAAGGGGACAAAAAGTGCAATCCCAATAATAACTTAGAGATAAAAAGTGAACATGGTCAACAATTACGGATAAATTTTACAATTATCGTATAACTTAGAAATATAAAGTCCAACTTTCCTTAAAAATTACAAAGATGGATTTTGAAGTTAACAAAGCCAAAAATAGCCTAGAAGTAACTAGTGCTAAATTTGCTTACTGCCTCTTCTAAACATGTTGAGGGCATTTTTCCTAGAATGTATGACACGAGAAAATGGCACGAGTTGGATTGTTAGAGCTACAGAGTTTGGCGGTCACAGTTGTTCAGTAGGGAGTATTTAGGAGAAGAGACTAATTTTTGAATCAATATATGATCTGTGTGTTGAGCTATTGAATCACAATAATTTACATTCTCTTAAATGTTTTATTGTGCCAAAATGTAAGGAACTTTTGGGTTGAAGATTTTACCTTTTGAGAGAAGAAGAGCTACAAAATTTGTTGTCAACACGCCTCAAGTAGTGCGTACGTAGGTGCTGATGCAGGCATGCATCAACGCGTCAACATTGTTTGAAAATACAAAGCCTTAGCTTAGGTTGATGAACAAGTTGCATTGTAAATTTCAACATACATTAAAACTGAAAACTACTAGCCCGTACTAGGACGTAGAAAAGTCTTGTGAGCAGAGATTATAATAACGTCCACAACTAACGTAACAAAGAATTATTGTAAGAAAAGAATTGAAGATGGAAGCTTCAGGTTCGATATACATATTTGTTTGTGTTATGCTTGTCTTTCTAGCAGCTTTGAAACGTCTGTCAAGGAAGACATATCACAACCTTCCTCCCACTCCATTTCCCAAACTTCCTATCATAGGCCACCTTCACCTCATTAAACTACCACTACAACGGAGTCTCCACCAAATTTCTCTTAAATATGGCCCCATTTTCACCCTCCAGCTCGGCGTCCGCCGTGTTGTGGTGGTGTCATCGCCGTCGGCCGTGGAGGAGTGCTTCACCAAGAACGACGTCGTTCTCGCCGACCGCCCTCGCTCCACGGCAAGTAATTACCTCAGCTACAACTACACTACCTTAATCAGCTCCCCCTACGGCGATCACTGGCGCAACCTCCGCCGCATTTGCGCGCTGGAGATCTTCTCCACCAGTCGTCTCAACTCGTTTAAGTCCGTCCGGCAAGACGAAGTCAAGATTCTGCTGCAGAAATTGGTTCAAACCTCGCGACATGGGTTTGGGACAGTTGATCTGAAATCTAAGTTTTCCGAACTGTCTTTTAACATCATATTGAGGATGACTTCTGGAAAACGGTACTTTGGTGTGGATGAAGACGACAAGGAGGCTATGGAGTTCAGGGAGCTTATAAAAGAGGCGTTTATGAGCGGAGGAGAGGTCTTGGATTCTCTGCCATTTTTAAGGTGGATAGGTTACAAGAATGTGGAGAAGAATATGAAGAAGCTGAGTGAAAGGTTGGATTCATTCTTGCAAGGACTAGTTGATGAGCACCGCCATGACAAGAGCCGAAACTCCATGATTGATCATTTGCTGTCACTGCAAGAATCACAACCAGAATATTACACAGATGAAATCATCAAAGGGCTTATGATGGTAATGTATTTAACAAGCCAAAATCTCCTATTTGATAATCCTATATATCAGACTGGAATTGACATCTATCAATTGATAATAAATGACAGGTGATGCTGCTAGGTGGAACAGACACCTCAGCAGTGACAATGGAGTGGGCAATGGCCATTTTGCTTAACCACCCAAGGGTGATGGACAAAGCCAGAGTTGAGATTGATAATCTTGTGGGACAAGAGCGCGCGATTGAAGAAGAAGATTTGCCTAAGCTGAAATACCTGCAGAATATTATTTTAGAGACATTTCGGCTGTTTTCATCTGCACCATTACTAGTACCCCACTGCTCATCTGATGACTGCAAGATTGGGGGATATGACATTCCACGTGGCACAATGTTGTTGGTGAATGCATGGGCCATTCACAGGGACCCCAAGCTGTGGGATGACCCCACAAGCTTCAAGCCTGAGAGGTTTGATAATGGTGATGAGGTTGAGTCAACCAAGCTGTTACCCTTTGGAATGGGGAGGAGATCATGTCCAGGTTCTGGACTTGCTCAGAGAGTTGTGGGATTGGCTTTGGGATCACTGATACAGTGTTTTGAGTGGCAGAGAGTTGGGGAAGAAGATGTTGATTTGACTGAAGGGAATGGATTCACTGCACCTAAAGCAGAGCCGCTTGTGGCCATGTGCAAAGCCAGAGGTTTTGCTCATAAAATTCTGTCACAAAACTCCTAGAAAATATTTCTGTAGCTAATAAAGTAGAAGAATAGATAATGATTATGTATGTAGACTGTAGAGGAAGTTATCATCATCAAACTAATAAAAGAACCTTCACTTCACTCTGATTATGGAGCATCTCTCCACACTTCCCGGAGAAGTTGATACCTGACAACATTAGTCCGACCAGGTTTCATCAAATTTGGAGAATCCTTAAAGCAGTCAGCAAGAATTGATGTCAATGGCGAGTCCAACTCATCAAGCTCAACATCACTGGTATATGACTTTTTGAGTGATGATAATCCACTCCTCTTTGGAGCTTGGTTCCCTATCTTCTCCAAGAAACTGGAAAGAGAGGCTGTTGGAGGGGGCTTGTATGACGTTGATATTACAGTGCATGGAAATGTAGTGATACGTTCTCCAGAAGCAGCATCCAGGTTGTCCTTAAGTATGAAAATTTGTAAAAACGTCAAGAAAATTTCTGCTATATAAAACTAGTGCAGCCTGCATATTTATCTTTGGAATTGGGAGAAAGAACCAACCTCAAAATCTAAAGCCTGAAAGACGGTCTTGGGGATTGGTTCAGGACGGAACTCATCAGGAACAAAACTGCTGAGAACCCGCTTTATCAGTGCTGGACCGAATATTGGGCAGAACTACATGCAGCACAGATTGGAAGAATCATTATATGCATTATACAGTTTTGATTTGCACAAGGTTGAGTATGTGATGTTTGCTCATTAACAGGCACTTACTTCGTTTCTTGTGGTTTCATCAACAAGTGTCTCGAATGGAAGCATCATGAGGTTGCTCAGAGCATTCAGAAGGCGAAAAGCTCTGAACGAATCCCCAATAACATTATTATCACCAGATGAATCATCATCTTCAATGCCAATGAGATCAGTAAGCCATCTGGACCAGTTTCCAACCTACAATGAAGGGAAACCAGTTAAAATTGGCTAATTGAGCAATAGTTTGAAAGTCTCTTTTGTTAAAAAGTGTTCAAACAAAGAGAATATGTGCCTAACATGAAGCTACAAAGAAAATTTGATGAAATGGACATCTACTCACAGCATTTTTTAACTGTGCCCCAGCCCTGAAGCTTGATTGGCCAATGGGAATTGGGAGTATATTAGGATCACTGATGGGATCAAATGCGGGATCGGTAGGCATGTCTTCAGCAGATCTTCGAAGGATGGCGTTGAACATTGCCACGTCTAGCCTATTTACCAAGTGTTTCATTGCCTATCATCATGAATGTACAGGCTTAGCAGTAATTTCTAGTTTTGAACAGGAAAAAAAAAAACTTCACTCATGCTGTCAGAGAACATCTTCATAAACTAAAATAATTCTTCATATTCAATACCTAATGAAAACCTTGACAGATGAAATCTCACTATTAAGTCAGCAGAACAAACAAGGAAAATAGAATGAATGTCTTCATGAGTAGAAAGAATGTTCTTGGCTAATACCTAAATTTAAGGTTTCTTTTTTAGGTCAGTGTATACTATATTGTATAGTGCCTAATGGCCCATCATCAGCTCTTAAACAATGACAAGTTATATATTCCCTGCACTTCAAGAAATCTAGCTGTTCAAAGACTTACTAGTTTAGACAGCATAGGTAAGCAACCACAGTTGTGTCCTCCTGCTCGGATTGGGCAAAGCCTTTCACAGGCATCCTTAAAAGAATTCCTCCAAATTTTTATAGAATTATTACCCTGTTCTTGATCAGCCAACGCATGTTTACTCCCATATGTTCTCTTGACTGTTGAGCCCCTAGTTCTGTTAGCTTTCACAACAGCTGTTTGCATGTGTGGAGTCAGACACTGCAGGCAAGAAGTGAAATTATAAGAACTAGTCGTACTAGATTTTAAAAGAAATCAGCATAAAAATCTGATGACTAGAGAGATCAACCTGCCACCATACAGATTTGATAACTTTGGAGAAGATCCAGGATTCAAGTTTTTCCAATGCTTTAATGAATGAGTCTATGTCTTCCCAGTCATCAGTGTTTTTAATTAAATTATTCTTCATTCCCTCAGTTGCAGAAGGCTTCACCATTCTCTGCTTATACTTTTTATCCCATGTAGAACCACCATTGCTTCCATCATTTCCTGTAGCTTGACTGATAATTGCTCTCAACACAATACAGTTTGACAACCAGAAGGTCAACCTGTACAGCACAAAAGAAAGTTTAGAAAGCCAAATAAACTGGAGGAATTGGATTTAACCTGACATTCCAGTAAGTTCTACATGACAAACCCCCCCATTGAATTATCCTACTTCCCTTTTGTTTTCCAGCTTCATTCATACATGGCTAAGTAATAAAGAATAGGCACATACCTTGGAACATCATTGCCACATGCTCTAGAAACCAAAGCCAACCCAGAGACAGCTGCCCTGGCAGCACTTGCCTGTTTAGCTTGGGATCCTTCTCTCCATGCATGGAGATAGAATCTAGCAATACGGCGAGCTGGGGCATGAAGCTTGTTTGCATAACTTCCATGTTCTGCAACTACAGAATAAAGGCCAATCTCAATGGCTGCAGCTTCCTTCAGTTCCTCTTCAAGCATCTTAATTTTAGACTCCCACTCAGGTTTGCCATTGGACAACTCAGCATCTGGAACTCCTTTTTCTATTGATGCAATACTTGGGTGCAATTCAGATTTCATTTCTTTCTTCTCAATTCTTGCTGCATTTCTAGCATACGTACTAGCATCTACCGCCACATCGTTTCTTACTTCCTTTATTATCTTACTGTCACTAAAAAGATCACTTAGAGTGGCAGAATCCCTTATCTGGACAGACCTCACTGACTTTAATCTATCCTTGTTCATCTGCGCTCCAATAGCATTTTTTATGGAGTTCATTGTACCTTGTCTTCTCATAGCATTGCCAATTACCTTATTCTGAGAATACTGCCTTGTATCCTCAAGGAGCAGTTCTTTGCTTCCCAAGTGTGTATCCCTTGCATCTATAGCTTCATTTTGTTTAACTTTACTCCCTTGAAATTCTTGGGAGTACCCTGAGTTTATTTGTTCAAATTCATTTCCTCCCTGAATATGCATTTGTGAAGATGTAATTTTGGATATTAATCTGTCAATGTACTTCTCTTTGGGTTGCTGAGTATTTTCTTCACTTTTGCTTTTTCCAACAGCTATTTCTCCATAAAAGTCATTCTGCATTTTAACACCAAAAACATCAAGTATAAGGAAGAGAACCTGAATTGGGACAACCCAACCAAGTTGGTTGATTTGGTAACCACACGGTTCCAAACACCACTAAGAGTGGGAGTGACCTATTAGCCTTCTTGGTTTGAGCTGGTCAGCTATAAGTAACCTAAAATGATTTACCTCTATATGGTCCTTTATCGATTAAAGTTATTAGGTGGGATTTTGTCAGTTTTGGACAAATTAAGCTGGTTTACCTTCTTGTGATCCTTTGTCAACTACGGTTACAAGGCAAGATTTACCTACTACACACTCTTGAGTAGTGGTTGCGAATTTTCCTAATCATTCAAAATATGATAAAGCTCGCAATATTGGAACTTACCCCGTACATACTTTTGGATAGTGGAAGTAAATTTCCCTCGTAATCCAAAATATGATAAAAATAACTCACAATAGCCTTCTTCTAATCTAGCAAATTGCATGCGTGTAATGAGAAGTATAGAGAACCAGCTAACGGCCCTCACATGTGATTTTATACCAAATTATAAAATGTATTTCTTCTCAACTAAAAGTTTAAATTAATATAAATATTATGCTCAACATAGCTGCATTTAATAAATAGAGAACCTAATCCAGTGAAGAAATGAAGAATTATTAGGATGAATGAGATATTATAGAATGCAGTCAGATTCCAATTAAGTACCTTCTCAATCTGAGATGGCGAAGCCCAGGCAGCCTCAAAGATTGAAGAAGCAAAAGTTGAGGAGGAATGCGAGGAATCATCATCAGTATAAGAAGCAATGTCAGATTCATATTCAATCTCGAACCCGGACTCTTGTCTGTCCTTGTCCACTGGCTGCACCTTAACATACAGCGAAGGCTGCAACAGCCCTTTCGAACTCTTCTTACAATTCAGCGGAACACTAATGGCTAAAGTATCTCTAATAACTCCATATTCCGCAAAGTTAATCGAAGCAGTGCCCAAAAGTTGCCCTTGACTGGCATTCTCCCTCGGAGATTCATAGAGGTGAAATTCCAAGCAATTCTTCTTAAATTTCTCCCGCGATTTCTTCCCCCGAAGCAGGGTTAAGAAAAGCGTGAATGATTTGTTAAATTCCAGGAAATCATCTTCGACAGTTGAAGTAACAAACCCAGAATTCCGATCCCCATTTTCCCACTGAAGCAGCACGAACTCAACAGATCTCAACGACTCCGATGGCGGCCAGGGCCTGATCATCTGTATATGAACAACATAGTCTATTTGTAACGGAGCAAACTTTTTCTTCTTCCGCTCTCCGAGAACCATCGCTCCGAAACCCAATCGAGCAATATAGTTCTATAATCATTCAAAATCAACAACTATGAGCATATGTTTCAGATGAACCTAATTAAAAGAAGCAAATACATACAGATACAGATGAGCTTTAAACTTGGAAAAGAATACCTGAAGGCACGAGTTCCTCTGTGCTTTTCACAAGCGTTAAGGACAATATGAAGAATAGCTAGTTTAGGATTATTGTGATGATATGATGCAGGAAATTAAGGAGTTACGCGTGAAGATGAAGAATATGAGTTTCGTGCGTCCAACTATGTTTGAATTTGGAGGGAACAGGTAGTGGAAGATCGTTAAAATCATTTAGAATATAATAATTATGGATTGTGGATTACTTTTTTACCATTTCACAATTATAATACTCATTGGGAATCATTATTCGCATGGTATGAAATATGATACCCAAAACACACACATATATATGGGCAGAGCTCTACTACATAGACTACCAAAATTCTACTCCCTTATTAATACTTCCTTAGGTGGAAGATCGAGATTTATTATTTTCATCATGGGGTCTACAGAAAAATATCTACATCAAGAACATGTGAGAGGAATACAAATTGCAATCGTTATGCGTTGGACCCGTGTCCAGCATGCTTGCTGGAACGGCACTGTTATCTCTTTTTTTTTTTTGTTTTTTTTTTGTTTTTTTGTTTTTTTTTTTTTAATTTCAGACCGCTTCGTTATAGGAGTATATGTTCATACTATAATTTTATTACTATATGTTAATAACTGTACATTCATAACTCCATAACTGTACGTTCATAACTCTATAACTGTACATTCATAACTCCATAACTGTACATTCATAACTCCATAACTGTACATTCATAACTCCATAATTGTACATTCATAATTTTCGAAGCTCTATGTTCACAATTTTAGAGCTCTATGTTCATAATTTTATCACTATATGTTCATAATTGTAAGTTCATAATGTTAGAGCTCTTTGTTCATAATTCGATCAATAACTGTACATTCATAATTCCATAACTGTAGATTCATAATCTCATAACTGTAGATTCATAACTCCATAAATGTAGATTCATAACTCTATAATTGTACATTCATAACTCCATAACTGTACATTCATAATCTTCGAAGCTCTATATTCACAATTTTAAAGCTCCATGGTCATAATTTTATCATTATATATGTTCATAATTGTAAGTTCATAATGTTAGAGCTCTGTGTTCATAATTTCATAATTGTATAACTGTACATTCATAACGGCATAACTGTACATTCATAACGGCATAACTGTACATTCATAACGGCATAACTGTAATCCAAAAAAAAAATAACGCCGTTAACGGCAAAACGCGCACGAATTTTATTTTTTTTTAACTAAATGACGCGTTTTTTTTTTTTTAAAACGACGTCGTTTTGGGCCCGTGTCCACAATTCAGTGTGGACACGGGTCCAGGGCATAATTTGCCAATAAATTAGGAGTTTAAAATGGAAGTACACCCAGTATTTTTCATATGGGCATGCTCTGAGAACATGGTCTTCTAATAAAAAAAATAAAGATTGATTTCAGGTGTTCATAGGGTTTTTGAAAAAAAAAAAAAAAGAAAAAAAAAAAGAAACAGTTAATTTTATAAATATTAAAAACTTGTAAGAATGAGTTCATTTTATAACTATTACAATATATATATATATATATATATATATATATATATATATATATAACCAAAATAAATAATTTTGTAAAAATAAAATTATATTTTAAATTATTTTTATAGTCAATCTTTATTTATTTCGGAGTATTATAATCATTGGGACTTTATTGATTATATATGGCACAATTGGCCTAAAAATATGAAGGTACTATTGTTTTATTTGTTTGGTAATTTCTTCTTTGTTTACTGTGAGTGACAATGGAAATTCAAAATTGCATACACTAATTTTTTCTCATTTAAATAAAACACTTTTATATTTTTCTTTTCTTTTTCTTGTTTGTTTGTTTGTTTTTTTGTTTTTTTTTTTTTTTGTTGGTATACTTAAGGTTTTCACCGTCGAACACATTGACTAATCCCCTCGCTGAATTACAGACACCTCTTTTGAGTGGGATAGCTGGCCTGAAGATTTAAGACGGCTTCATTCCCAAACTTTTCTTTTTCTTGTGATTAGCAACATAGTCATCCTGATTATATTAGGACAAACACATATTGTCTTTATAAAAATGTAATGTTTCCTCTTGGGGGTGTAATATTTATGGATAACTATTACAAAAATGTAACCAAATCTTTTGAAAAATATTTAATCTGATCCGTCCAATTTTTTCAGATGTAAGGTTGAGATTGATTTTTAGAAAAGACTTGTTCTTATTTGATCATAATTAATATATATATATATATATATATATATATATATATATATATATATATCATGGTTGCAGTAGGCGCTAGGCGCTAGTCGGGCGCCCGGACAGCGCCTAGCGCCTAGGCGGTCTAGGAGGCGCCTAGGCGGAATCTATGCGGTGCTAGGCGGGCGTCAAAAAATTAGTGGTAGACTTGCAGTTTGACAATTTTAATGAGGTTGTTTTCAACATTTAATCAAATAACACATCCAAATAAATGAATTAATGATAATTCATAAGTCATAACATCAAAACAATGGTTTTCAAAAAAAAAATATATTAAAACAATATTAAAAATTAAAAATACTCAAATACTTCAATCATCCAAAGATTCAAAGTATCAAACTAGTCTACGAGTGTATATATGTCATATTATATATATGTATGCGCGCGCACACACACACACACATACATATATATAATAATAATAATAATAAAATAGGCCGAGCCGATCGGTTAACTCGACCGAAATGGACGAGTTAACTCGACTAACTTAGACGCTAGGCGGCCAAATCGACCGAGTTAGGCGCTAGGCGGACCTAGGCGGGCGCCTAGGGGGGAAATCGCCACGGTCTAGAGGCGCCTAGGGCCTAGGCGGGTGCCTAGACCGATTTTTACAACCCTGATATATATATATATATATATATATATATATATATATATATATATATATATAGAGAGAGAGAGAGAGAGAGAGAGAGAGAGAGACAGAGAGAGAGAGGGAGAGAGCAAAATAAATAATTTAGTAATTATTGGGACATTATTGATACACAATTGGCCTAAAAAATATTAAGGTATTATACTATTATTGTTTTATTTGTTTACCCAAAAAAAAATATTATAATTTGTTTCATTTAAATTAAAATCTTTTAATTTAGATTTTTTTTTTCCTTGTAGAGATTAGCAACTTAGTCATCCTAATTATATTGGCAAATTATTGTGTGAACCGTGGTACACACAACTGTGTAGACCACAGTCCAAAAATATCGTCGTGAATATTAGGAGTAAAAATAATGTATATTATGTGTTCGAATAATGTATGTTATATGTTAGAATAATGTATATTACGTGTTAGAATAATGAAACATCTTGGGTAATATAATGTACATTATGATTTAGAATAATGCATATTATAAGTTATAAAAATATATATTGCAGCTGAGCACACGAAAAAATAAAATTAAACAAAACGACGTCATTTTTGAATCACGGTCCACATAGCTGTGTGGACCACAGTCCACGCAATAACTATTGAATTATATTAGGACAAACACATATTGTCTTTTAAAAAAAATGTAATGTTTCCTCTATTACAATAGAGTCAATTGTGTTAAAAAAAAAAAAAATGTAATGTTTCCTCCTAGGGTGTAATATTTATGGATAACTATCAATTGCTTGTGTATTTTAGTATGGAGCAAAGAATATTTAGGATTGCTTTGACTTGGCTAATAAGATTTTCACGATTTCTTTCACCCACACCTTTAGAGAAGGGAATTATTGCACAAGCTTCTTTGCTAATCTAGCGCACAAAAAGGATTGGGGCACCTGAGTGTTCATCAATGCTATGGACGGGTTGGTTGATCTTTTGGTTCGCGACGCGGGAATCTCTCAATCGCAGAGTTAGATAAAGTCTCTCTTTCTTCACAAAAAAAAATATATATATATATTTAGGCCTTTAGTGATTATTACTATTAATCAATTATTGTGTATTAATATATACTTTAAATATGGAACAGATGAAATTTAGGACATTAATGAAAGTGACTTTTTTGTCTAAATAATACACAAAAATAATAATTAGGGGAGGGAAATTAAAATACTTTAATAATTATGTATGGATAAAAGTCATAAAACAAAGTAGTTTAAATTTTAAATCAAACAGGTCAAATTCGAGATCAAAATTGAACTCAAATTCGAGCCTAAACTCGAGGTGGAATTCGAGCCTGAACTCGAGCTCGAATTCGAGCTCGAGCTTGAACAATTGAGCTGCTTGAGCTCGAGCTCGAGCAGCTCGAGCATCAGTTCACGAGCTCGAACAGTGCTATCATTAACGAGTACGAACATGAGCCTACCCAGGCTCAGGCTCAACTCGGCTCGTTTACACCCCTACTAAATATTTTAAATTCTAAAATTTTTAATATAATTTATAACTTTCTCATAAAAACACAAAATATTGAAGTCTAAGACCCACCTCATTTGACTTCCCGCAGCACTGGGC